CTTTGTAAGGACCTGAGGAACGGCTGGCAGGAGAGAGTCATTATGGCATGTTGATAACTTTCCAAAGGTGCTGGATAATCATGCTCAGTGGATGAGAAAATTACCTGGGAACTTCTCTGGGATGTCACATCAGCCTTGTTTCCTCCAGACTGTGAAAGCTGCTGAGAGCCTGATGGAAATGTGCATTAGCAGAACTGAAGGGATGAAATGATGAAATGGGGTGGAGCAGAGGAGGAGCTGCTTGAGAGCCTCTGTCTCTCATGTGCCCCAGGCTTGGTGAGGAAGCCTTCCTGGGTCCGTCTGCTGTGCCTGGGTGGAAAATGCAGATGAACCAGCTTGGAGGGGACTTGCTGTTGGGGTTGCCTCCGCATTCTTTCTAAAAGCAGATTTGTCAGCCTCAATACAGGGAAACTGAGGCACTGAAAATGGGAAGCTACTTACTTCAGTGGCAGGATCTGTGACAGATGAAGGTTTTCTGGCTCTCACTCTAAAGGCTGCACCCTGTCAAAGCACAGGGATGGGAAATGGAAAAAGCCATCGGAAGCCGTTGGCTCTGCTGGGGATCCCAGTGGCTTTTGGGACCTGGGTGGGGACAGCGGTTAAGCCCCACAGGTCAGCCTGGGGTTAGTTTTGGATGTAGGATGGGAACATGCCTTGGTGGAACCGGTGAGTTGAAGGCTGAGCGATGCAGAGATGGTCCCTTTCCATGGGTTGCTGACCCAGTGTGTCCCCATGAGCCCCTGCACCACTCCAGGGAACAGCCTTCTCCCAGCAGGTCCTGTTCCAGAGGTTGCTTCTCTAACACTGGGACCATCATTTTTCCTCTCTTTCCCCTGAGGGTGACAGACTTCATCCCCTCGGGTGCCAGGAGGAGCACTTGTGCAAACCAGAAGATGAACAGAGGCACCAGCCTTGGTAAAGCCAGGGGAAAAAAAAAAAAACAGAGGGGGAAGCAGAGTGTTTCTTCCCATGTGGGGAAAAGGCCAGTAGCTCTGCTCGCTTGGAGCTCACCAAGGCAGCTGGTGGGGATTTCTGTCACTGTTTGGATGTACGATGGAAGCTGCTCCCACGTGGCTCAGCTGGTGCCCCATTGCCCTGCAGCTCTGCACGCCCAGTGCTTTGGTAAAGTCTAGTTGGGTGTGTGGATGCACAAGGGTTTTATAGACCCGTGCCAGATCTCCTTCCTGTGCCTGCTGTGCTTCATCATGGAGTGTGTGAGGTGCCGTTATCCGAGGGAAAACACTGCGTCTCCTCTCCTAGCTGTGTCAGCTGTTGTTTAAATAGCTGGTGGCTGCCTCTGAACAAAGGAAGCTCGAATGTTTGAACAAAACTGACTTCAGTGCTCACTGGCTTGAGGAAGAGGTTTGCACTGACCGTCCTGGGATTTTTGACAAGACTGTGGTGGCCAGAGAGGTCAGGGTGGTGCTGAGGAAGCCTTGTGCTCCCCAGCTCTTATGCCAGGGCTCTTCCCAGACAGGAGCTGTGCTTCGGCTTCCTGGAGCAGACACGCTTCTTGGGGGGCTGAGCAGAGGTTCCTCGGGCTGTTTGTGCTCACAGTCAAAGAAGGATTTACCCTCAAGCTGCTACAAACCTAGGCTTATCCTAAAAATAATAAAAATAATCTCTTCAACTTGATGCAAGCTCGTGAGTTTAAAATCCATTCTTATAAACAGGCTCAGCTTACAGATGGGCTTCACTGGTTGAACTTCGGACCAGGTTCTAGGCAGAGGCTTGAATGCTTGCTCGTTTAAACACATGCCCAAAGGCTGTGTTGAATCAGGGCTGTGGGAGACCATCTTCTAGGAAAAATAAATCAGCTGTTTAACTCTCTTAAATGGTCCCATAGTGTTGCTGTGTCCTGTTAAACAGCTGCTGCTTTTTACCTCTGTGCGTGCGTCTGTGATGGCTGCAGTGGTGTGTTACATGCTGCATACAGCACATATACCTGCATGCCAGTATATACACCTGCATACAGCGTGTATATCTGTGTGCCAGTATATACACCTGCATAGAGCACATACACCTGTGTGCCAGTATGTACACCTGTGTTCTGTGTGGTTTGGGGATGCCCAATGGCCTATAGCTCTTCCACCAGCTCCTAGCTGGGTGAAGGGTTTGCTCGTGTCGTGCCCCTTCGTTGTGCCATGGGTTACAGAGCTGACGAAGGGTGAGTTTAACCGGAGAGGATGGCAGCTGTAGGGAAGCTGTGTGCGGTGGCACATCCTCAGGCTGGGAATCAGGTGGGGCAGGGTGGGAGCAGAGGGGGGCTGAGGTGTAGCCTGACTTGCAGAAGGCAGCGATGGAAAGCAGGTCACAGCTGTGGTGGGAAGCACAGAGACTCGGCCACATGCAGAGGCAGTGTCACCGAGTAGATGTGACACTATGCGAAGAGAGAGAGGCTCTCACCAGCTTCCTTGGGTTTGTGGGGTCGCCTTGGACAAGGTGTTTCCTGCCTCACTTCTCCCCTTTCTGCTCGTTCTTTCTCACTTGTGTTCACTGAGGCAAGCACCATCCCTTTGTATTTAGAACCAGATGATCTTCAAGGTCCCTTCCAACCCAACCCATTCTGTGACTCTATGATTTAGCACCTAGCACAAGGTGCTCTCCAAAAGCTGCCAGTGCGGGTGGCTTGGAGGCCAGCAGAGCTGTGTCCTGGGGGGCTCCCGAGCGTGGAGAAGGGCTCTGGTGGGGGACCATTGCATCCTGCACTGGCTATTCAGTGGGCACTAGTGCTGGGGGAGAAGCACCATGCTGGGCAGGAAGCTGCTTCCCTCCTTGAGAAGCCTCAGCAGATGTATAAAGGACTACACAGAGTGTCACCAGCCTGCCAGCTGCAGCTCTGCCTTCTGCCGGGAGGGACTGTCACCAGCAGCGTCCCCATGGCCACCATCAGCTTCTGTTCACTCCCTCTCGTCTTCTCTTGGACTGAGGCTGCCTCAGCCAGGGCCTTGAGCCCGACGGCTTCTCTGCTTGCCTCCTGGCTCTCTGCTGTCACCTTCATGCATAAAACATCTCCCTTTGACTGAGATCCCAGCTCCTGGTGGCCTTGTCAAGAGAGCTGCAGGGGGACATAAAAAGTCTCTTGTAAATCTCTGGCCTCTCATCCCTGGAAACTTTCTTGTGCCTCCAGAGAGCAGCGCTGCCGCTGTTCCTGCTCTTTCAGGGGATGACATTCAGCCGGGACAGGACAGGAGCAGCCAGCCTGCTGCCAGCCTGCAGCACCACCACTGCCCCATCCTCAGGGCAGGCTGTGAACGCTCCCCGGTGCCTGGCATGGGGCTGGGGGTCCTGCCTGTGCTTGCTTGCTTCTCCTGTGCCTGGTGTCTCCTGTGTGGTACAAACCCTAGAGGGTTATCTTCAGATCCCTCTCCCCTGCCAGGATGGATGCTCTGAGGGAGGGAGGAAATGGGATCCCTGCATCAGTGGGATGCATGGGGAGTGTGGCCATCCCAGGGATCTGTCTGCATTGGGAGCTCGAGAGGAGGTGAGAAGCCTCCCTGCCACCCCTAACTCGTTGCCACAGAGGTCAGATCACCCTGAGCCTGTCTGCGTGGCAGCTTACGGCGTGGCTTTGGGTCAGGAAGCTGAGCTGTGCCCTGGAGCATGGGTGGACCGCGAGGCCATGGTGAGAGCGGTACCCTGGGGTGGGCAGCAGGCTCAGACAGCTCCATCGTCCCGGTGAGCCTGGGGCTGATGCTTGTGAGAGTGGAGCGACGTGAGCACCTCTGCCCATCTGCCAGCCGGGCTGGGCTCCCTGTGCTCGCAGGGAGAGAAGAGGTTGTGGCAGGAGATGTGTTTGAGGGACCGGAGGAGCTATGGGGTCGGGGGCTGGAGTTAGCGAGCAGCCCAGGGTCCTGCAGTGCTCTTCAGTTGTTCTGGTGGGGCTATGGGTTTCACAGTCCTTGTTTAAGCTCTCCAGGCATGTGATGACCTTGGGAGCATGTGACAAATTTGCAGCCAAATTACTGTATGTGATGGAGATGCTGAACTGGGAATTGGCGAGCTGGATTCTCTTTAGCTTCTGGCAGGGAAGGACAGGAGTGTTGCCAGGTCAGAGCTGGGATCCAGCCAGCCCAGTATTACTGACGATATTACTTGTTACCCAAGAGCTGCTGGTATTAGTTCTTCCCAGTCACGAGCTTTGCTCAGCAGCTTCTCTGCTCAGTGGGGAGAGGAGACCTTGCAGGAGCAGCTCATCAGAAGGACGTACATATGTGGGGAAAAAAACCCCACAAAACCAAAGCACCTCCTTTCTGAGAGCAGATCCAGAGTGTTGATGCTCCTGAGGCCTCAGAAGGGATCAGCACTTGCAGCTGTCCCCAGGGAGAACTCCTATACTTTAAGTTTACTGTAAAGTCTATGTCAGCTTTTCATGGTGGAAGCTGGAGGAGCAGAGGAGCAATTGCAAATGGCCTTATTGGAATCTCAAGGTCCTCTTGACATAGGCAGTTTTAAATGTATGTATGTATTTAATTATGGTACTCATTAATTGACTGCTTGTGCTGGGGAGGCAGCTGGCGATGAAATGGCAAGAGAGGCTGCATTTCTGAGAGCATTGCTGGTGTCCACTGAAGGCATTAAGAGCCTTCCCAATGGCAGAGTTGGGGGCTGAGCTGGGGGGACCATCTCTTTCACTAGCTTTTCATGTAGCTCAGTCCTTCACTTGGTGGTTGCAGAGTAGTTTGAGATCTTTCAACTTCAGGGAAGAGCAAAACCGTGTCACCCATGGCAAGAGAGGCTGCATTTCTGAGAGCATTGCTGGTGTCCACTGAAGGCATTAAGAGCCTTCCCAATGGCAGAGTTGGGGGCTGAGCTGGGGGGACCATCTCTTTCACTAGCTTTTCATGTAGCTCAGTCCTTCACTTGGTGGTTGCAGAGTAGTTTGAGATCTTTCAACTTCAGGGAAGAGCAAAGCCGTGTCACCCTTTGGAGTCCTAAGACAGATTGTCCTTCCCCCTCCGTCGGCGCTGACTCTCTCCTCTCCTTGGCTTATCTTGCAGGTGCTGAAAGGCTGCAAGAAGCTGAACCTGTCTGTGCACTCGGTGGGACGCATCCCGGGGGGCTATGTTACCAACCACATCTACACCTGGGTGGACCCGCAGGGCCGGAGCGTGTCCCCGCCGACGGGACTGCCGCACCACCAGAACAGCTCCCTGCGCAAGGACAGCGAGAAGAGGAGCCACCTCCAGCTCCTGCAAGAGGGGGATGAGAAGAAGGTGAGTGGGGGGTCAGCCACCAGCCTGGGGGCCTGTCTGCAGGTACCTGTCACCATGTAGGTGCCAACCCTCTTCGTTCCCCTTACGCTTTTCATTTGTGTGGTTCTGGCCTCCGTTGGGATAGTGCCTCTCTGTTTTAGGAGGCGCTGGGTCCTGGTTTTCTCCCTTGGGCTGTAGCTTTCCTTCTCTCTCCCCCGAGGAGCCCTGCAGGACAGGATGGGTTGGCGTTCCCATTTGACACAAGTAGAACCTGAGCTGGAGACGAGGCGTTGTCCAGATGTAGACTTGTCTGGTGGTGAGGGTTCTCCCAGGAGCAGTGGTCAGACCAGAAGTTACTTTTAGGGCTTTTCCCGAACAGTTTGTTGGTTTGGCTGGAGGTCTGCTGCCAGCATGGTCACTGGGAGGCTGACATAAGGTGTTACGCGCAGGAGGGCTCGTGGGTTTGGAGGGCTGGATCTCAGGCTACATTGCTGCCCTTCTTCCTGCATTTCAGATCTTTTCTCAGGTGTTTCCGTGAGGCTTTCTTGGATTTCTTGGCAGTTTTGTTTGTCTAAGTGAAGAAAAAAAAAAAAAAAAGCCCAGAACAAACCCAAAACACAGAAACCCCATTTTTTTTCTCTTCCAAATATGGTATAAAATAAAATGGATGATTTTCCTCTTCCATTTGGGGAGAGGCAGGACCTGAGCAGTGCCTGTGTAAAAAGCCCTGGCAAGTGAAAAAGGAGAGGGGAAGGGAATGGCTTTCGTAACGGTACTCGGGGAGCTGGTGGTGTCTGGCCACTCCAGCAGGACCCGGATCTTGGACCTTTGTCAGAAAATAAAGCATATCAGCACATCTAATTCCCTCCTCCTCTCTTTCTGTGAGCCTGCCGTCCTCTGAAATAGGCTTCATGGTAAGTGAAGCCAGCAGAGGATATGTTCAAGCTGCAATATCTGATCTCGGGGATTTAGTGTTTCTTCTCCCTCCTGCTTCCCGTGCCCAGCCAGACCTAGAGACTGGCAGAGGAGCGGTGCTCAGATGCCCTTGCAGCGAGGCACAGACCGGAGGGCAGACTGCTCGCTGTCTCGGTGGTGATGGATGGGGAACCTGTCTGTCCTGTACAAGCAGGACATGGTGTTTCCTCACTGACGTTTATGGGATATCAAAGTGCTGTCATATGAGCGAGCAGGGCACTTGCATCCCAAAGGCACAGAGTTGCTTGGAGCCTTGACATATTTTCTGATATATCCTGAGATCGCTCTGGCTGTCCCCAGCACTTTGCTTTTATGCCCAAAATGTCCTCAGCTCTGCGGGGAAAGGCTGTGGAGGGATCTATAGGCTGCAGCCAGAGGGGGGGGAAAAATCTAATACAGGATGAGGCAGTTGCTGATGAAATAAATATTCATGTCAGCCACAGGGGAGAAGGGCCCATTATTTTTACTTTAAGAAGAAGAGAAAAGCAGCCACTGCTGGGTTGCTGGTGTCCCCCACCCCCTACCACTCAGTGTCACCTTGATGCAGCCGGCGGCAACTCTTTGAAGCTGTAGGTAGGAGGTGTTTCTCTGCACGTCGTTCCTTTAGTCCTTGCTGTGTATCGACATGAAATGCATAGAAGCCTGCAGCTGTACACATCCCTGCCCAGTGCCTGAGCCTCGCGTGGCCCCAGACAGACAGACAGACAGCCCCTTCCCGTCAGTCCCTGGGGAGATGGGATTGCAGGTGCCCTGGCTGTCCCTGCACAGCTTGGCTGCTGCGAGGGCTGGCCATCAGACCAAAGCACCCTCCTCTGCTGCTCCTGGTCCTGAGCTGGTCAGGGAGCACACAGGAAAGTGAATCCAACTGAACTTTGCAAGTTAAGAGAGCTTTAATTACCATAACTTAGTCTGCTTTGGAAGGGAATGAAGCCAAGATGAATGAAGGCCACGTTAAACTTTGAAGGCATCCATGCTGGGCTTGGATGTTGGTTACACCCCCAAGGTTTGGGGGGAGACCCAGCTCCCAGTTGCCCACTGTGGCACCGTTCTAGCTGAGCCAGGCTGCGGGACCTTGGCTCACAGAGGTGGCTGTCCTCGTTCCGAGCTGTGCTTCTCTGGTGCTGTTGCTGGGATGCCTCTTTGGGGCAGTGCTGCACTTGCAGGGCACTGGGAAAATCTGCCAGCCTTGGGTGAGATGCCCTGTCTTCATGGTGCCACCAGTTTGTGGCTTGCTGGCTTCAGGACCTTTTGCCTGGGTGTGAGGAATGGTGAAGAACTTTGCGCTCCACTTGGCTCTTCCAAAATCTGAGCTTGCTCTTCCGTTCCTTGGTGCTGCTTCCCATAGCCCTTTGACTTCTTTTAGTGGAGGATCGTGCTTTGGCCCCGGGGCAGGGGGGTGAAAGCTCTGTTAACCCGGGAAGAGTCAGTGGCAGTTGCAGGAAATGTTTGAAGCTTGCAGAAGGGGGTGTACACAGATCTGACGCAGAGGGCAGTGCTGGCATCATGAGAGCAGGCGGCGTTCAGCCTTCTCCTGGCACTGCTCTCCATGGCGTGTTGGCAGGGACATCGGTCACTCTGCGGTTCCAGCCCTGCTCCTCTGGCCATGTACCACACTGCTAACAGAAGCTATCAGCCGCGTCCTGTTTCAGTCCTGGGATCCCCACGCAGCGCTTGGCCCCTCTGCTGCTCTGGCTTCTATCGGTGGCAGCTGCTGGCGCTGCTGGACCCTGGGCTGCTCAGGACAGCACCCTGACCCCTCCGCTCCCTGCACTGCCTGAGCCTCCTCCTCACCGTCCTGCTCCCTGGTGTCAGTGTGCAAGGCTTGGCAGGCATGTTGCAATAACCTCCACTCTTGAATTCCCATCTGTAAGACCAGCAAAAGAAAATGACTGGATGCTACAACTTTTAAATGGCCAAGGCCACCCAGGCTCTTCTGTATCCAGAGGTGCTTTGCTTTGCCTGCTGATGGGGAAAAAATACCTCACATGATCAACAGCTGGCTGGTGGGGAGGAGCCTGACCTGGCCAGGGGATTTGAGGGGTTATTTGGTGGGACTGCCTGTGTCACTGGTCTGAACACATGCTTCAGGGCATGAACGGGCTGAGTCGCTTTTGTCCTGACTTACTGTGCACCATCGAGAGACGAAACCATGTCCCAGAACACAGGAACAGCCTGCCTCTAGTTTTTTCTCTTTTTATTTATGTGTGTAGATATATATATATATATAACTGTTGAAAGTGGGGTTATTCTGTTGACAAATATCATGGAAATAAATACAACATATCCCTGGTTAATTCCGCCCAGTCAACCAGAATTGACAGGTACCGCTGAGAGCGATTTGATTTCTGGATGGTTTTACATTCCAAGGGAAGGGCTGGGGATTAGTTGGTTATTCCCCCCCCCCACCCCTCCTATTTCTAATCAATCTGAATGTCCTCAAATATATATGCAAAAGCTTTCACACAGGCATTGTTTGGGAAAGTACAGCAGAGACCAGACTTCAGCCCTACAGCAGGAGGAGGAAGCGATGTAAACGAGAAGTTTGCTAACGCGTTGCTCCAGTTCAGTAAGCTGCAATGCCCCTGCAGTTCAGGTGTATTTCCAGCTTTTGCAAGGTTAAATCAAGGTTGGTGGAAGCATCGTGCATCAGGCAGTAGAGATATCCCTGTCTGGCCACCTTTCCCTCCAGCACATCTGTTCTGTATGCCTGAAAGGATGAGTTTTGTAGCAGAGTTTAACAAGTTTGCTTATCGGTAGGCAGAAGCATTCATTATCAAAAGGCTTGAAATGGAAACTGCTGCTGTTGGTGTGTGTGTGACAGTGTAATCGATCCGTCTGGCGGAGGAGGGATCTGATGGGTGGCTGCCGGAGCAGGCACCCGGATGCTGGGCTGGAGGCATGGAGCTGGGGGGCTGGACTGGTGTGCAGCCAGGGTGGAAAGCTGACGGATCAGTCTGACCTCTGCGGGCGGCTTTGCTGTAGCAAGGTTCAGTGCAGAAGGCAGCCAGCGTTGCTCGCCTGTGGCTGGCACACCCCTTGCCCTTGGCTTTTTGTCATCTTTTTGTGTGGACACTGGGATTCCTTTGCTGTCAGCTGCAGAAGCCATTAAGGGGCTTTGGGAAGTTACTGGTGGATTGTCATCTGTCTGCTGGTTTTGCTCTCTCCATCCTGTTCCAGTCAGTGGTTCTGGGCTAAAATCCAGCTTGGGTCAGGGGCTGCTCTGTGTGGATGGCAGGAGGTGAGTGCTAAGATCTGGGCCAGTTATTCAGTGTGGACCTGACCTAACAGGAATGATATCTCGTGAGAAGGCACAAGAAAGGAATGTGAGAATTAACAGGAATGGAGGGATGAAGGAGGTGCTGGCATGTGCACACTTGTGGTTGTGCAAGTTATTGCAAATTTTTACGCTTTCCACGCCCCTGTTGTCTGTGGCAGGTTGAAGAGATGGCCGTATTTCCCAAGTTCTGCTGTTTTAGTTTCCTGCAGTCAGGGCAGCCTTCCCTGTAGTTGTCATCAGCAGATCCAGTGTTTCATCAGAGCCCTGTGCCCATCTTCCCTGTAAGTGAAGCAGCCAGTGATGGTGGTTGGTAATAAGTGTGAAACAAAGGGTGTGCACTGGTGCAAAGCTCTGGTGAAATGTTCTTGGAGCCACCCTGTCTCCAGGACAGGCACAGCAGCAGGTCATGGTCCCCCAGGACGGACACAGCAGCAGGTCACGGTCCCCCAGTGCCATCCCAGCAGAGGATGGAGCCTGCTTGCTGGGAAAATGGAACCTGCTTCCAGTGGTCACCTTGTGCTTCAGGACAGTTTGATTTTTTTAATGATACGTTCAGGCTTAAGTCCTCTACATTTTTCCCAGCAGCTAGGACCATTTGTGCGGTGAATTGTCATTAATGTACTTCTGGGAGCAACAGTTTATTTCATTAAAAGCACTTTGGAAACCATCAGCCAGCCCAAACCCGTAGATGCTGCTGAGCTGGGAGGAAGATGAACTGTGCAAAATGCTCTGCAAGTGCTGGACTGCTAATTCTCTAAGAAACGCCATT